TGTACCATTAGCTTCATGGTCAGCTAATGACTCAACAGAGATTTTCTTAAATACCTTGAAAAAATATACATACAGAAAAAGAGAAGTCTTCAGTTCTTTGCAGATGGGTTCTTTGTATGTATCAGGGCATGTCTTCATCACTCAGCCAGGCAGTTTACAACTCTGCCTTACCCTTCACTTCCTGATTGTGCAGTCTGAACTTCAACAAAAAGTGAAAGATCAGGTGAAGTCTTGCAAGAATAAGCCTAACCCTGGGCATGTGCATGAGTTTTTATATTCTCAGGAATATCTTGGAACTTTTCAAAGCCCTTATACCTGAATATTTCAGTTACTCTATTGTTTGTCCCAACTGTTATTCTTTGCTAGGACAGAGGTATTTAACATATCTGCTTTTAAATTTTGACAATTACTGCCCGCCGCCCCCAAGGTTAGTTTCCTGAACTCTGGAATTGTTCCAAGCCAGGAGAAGCAAAGGCAAGCCTTTCAAGTGTGTCCTTCAGTGAGCCAACAGACATGTTGAAATAAACAGCTACAATTTCTGAGAATAAGGTTTGTTCTCCTTCAGTTGTAAGAATCTTTACCAGGAATGTCTACTGTGTCTTCAAGGCCACCACTGAGCTGTATAGTGGGTGATTCATTGGTTTTGTTTTTTAATTAATTAAACCTTCCCCTAGTTACTATAAAGTTTTGATTAGTTTCTAGATTTCTGGTAAAGTTGATTCTGATATTATTGCTAGTTAAATCTCCTCTTTAGTGGAAGGATGGACTTTTGGTGTTCCTACCTTGACATTTCCACAGGAAGGATTCCTTTTAAGACAGAAACTACTCACTATAAAAGAAACTATTGATAGATTTAACTATATTAAAGTTAAAAATTTATCAAAAGGCATGATAAGCCTTAGAGTAGGAATAGATATTTTCACCATATAAAACTGATGAATGACTAGTTACTCAGAATAAATACAGGCATATAATTTTTAATTCAATAGAAAAGAGCAATACAATAAGGGGAAATTAGGCAAAAGACTTGAACGGGGACTTTACAAAAGAGATGACTAATCTCTTTTTTAAGAGATGACTAAATGACTAATAAACATGAAAAGGTACTTATTCTCACTAACAGTGTAAGGAAAATTAAAACCACCATAAGATATTATTACTACCTACCAGAATTGACTAAAATTAATAATATTGACATTAGGTAGAGGTAAACTGTGGAGTAAGAGCAACTGTTATTCTCTTTTGATAGACATACAAATTGGCTTAACCAATTTAGAAATTTGTAAAAGAAGGTATTCAGCTCTGACTGGTGTGGCTCAGTAGATTGGGTGTCATCCCATAAACTGAAAGTTCATCAGATGGAGTCCCAGTGAGAGCACATGCCTGGGTGGCAGGCCAGGTCCCAGGTTGGGGGCATGTGAGAAGCAACCGATTGATGTTTCTCTTACACATTGGTGTTTCGCTCCCTTTCTCCTTCCCTCCCACTCTCTCTAAATAATAAAAAATAAAATATTTTTAAAAGAAGGTATTCATACCCTATAACAGTAATTCTTTTCCTGGATATTTATATCTTTGAATTAATGCATGTGGGAATTATGGTACGTGAACAAGAATACTCATAGTAGCGTTATTCATAATGTCTCCAAAATGAAAACAATACAAATATCCATCAGCAAAGTAATCCATATTTATTGCCTCCTTTTTCTAACATCCAGCTTTTTTCTTTATGTCTTATAATCAAGATTTATCTTCATGAAATAAGCTTTCTCTCAGGCAATTAATGACTACCCCCATCTTATTTAGTGTCTCTCTTTTCTTTTTATCTGTCTTGGTATATTCTTGCAATATGATCTTTGTCTGTATGATCTTACCTATCTATATATCTCCCCCAACCATATCTGTGCAAATAATTTTTAAGTATCTCTAGCATAAGTTTCTTTTTTGAGATGAGTTGAAAATTTATTTCCAGGCTACATAATGAAATTGCAAATTTATGGTTGCCAAAATTGACAGGACCCACAGGGATGACTGGTAATTTCTTTGGCAAATTATTAGTTGTCTTTCATTCTCATTCATTCATCTCAAAGCATTAATCCAGATTTTTGTGACTAGTCTTCTAAGAAGTTATCTTTCTCACCTGTTTTCTCATCAGTAGATCTTTACTCCAACTACCAAAGAGAAGGGTACTACTGAATATCTCACTTTGTTCCCTCAAAATTACCTTATTTTATTATACTTACTTGCTTCTTTATTTTTACTTTTTTTCCTTTACTGGTAACTGCTTTAATTAATAGAACTAATGGCTTCTTTTCAACTCCCGTTTCTCCAGTATTTATAGATTTTAACATCTTGAAAGTTTATTCTGTTTTTCCTTCCCTTATAGCCACTCTTTCTTGATTTTCCTCTTTTGTCTCTAACAGTTTCTTAAAAAGAGGAAGACAACAGTATGAAAGTTAACAGGAAAAAGGGCTTGGGGGAAGATGAAGAGTGTAAAGAGGTTCAAATATACATACGGTGACAGGAGACTAGACTTTGGGTGGTGAGCACACAATGCAGTTTACAGATGAATATTATAGAATTGTGCACTCGAAACTTATATGCTATTATTAACCAGTATCACCCCCAAAAGTTAATTTTTTAAAAAGAGGGGAGGATGAAACAATTTATTTTCCAAACTCAAATACTTTTGAAAGTGTAAAAATGTGCTATTTAATAATTGAGCCAGGATAATAGATATAAACTCAGATTATTCAAGGAAAAATAGGATTATGTTCATTCCATTTAGATTGTTTCCCCAATTCTTTTTCTTCTATAGCCCCTTAATATGGATATCACCTAGAATTTTCAACCTTTATCTTTCATTCTTTTACATAGTCTCCTTGGGTGATCTGAAACATTTGTGTGACTGCAACGACCACCTCTGTTGATAATTCCCAAAGTATATATCCCATCCCTAACTCTTTCATAAGCTGCAGTCTCATGTTTCTAATAGCTCATTGGGTATCTTCAGACTATTAACTCAAAAGGATATACCCGAAAATTTAAACCTATCTTTCCTCTCAAATATCATACTGTTTTGTTTACATTCATACACAGAGAGCGAAAGCGAGATGTGTAGTATATGTATGTGTGTGTGAGTCTGGAAATACATATATCACACATGCATACAACTTTGTGTAGGCATTTCATTAGGTACTGGACACACAATAGTACCCAAAACACAGTTGCATCGTTATAACAGTGCATTCTAGAAAGTAAGCTAAACATTGATCAATCTACCACACGTATACTGTAGTGTAAGTGATAATTGCTATGAAGTAGAGGGACATGATGTCATGTGAAATATAATAGAGGCATTTGATCTTTCTAATCATGGCCTTTTTATTAGGCATAAGCAGCAACATATAGCTCTTCTAAATTAGACTACCTTGATTACTTTATAATGTTTATCACAATTTGGTACTCAAAAATACTGGCAGATGGAGCCATTTTTCTTCTTAGAATTTCTATTGCTTTTCATCCTAATTATGGGGATATTTTTCATAAATCATGTAAACTGTCAAGCCTTGAAATAGTGGCAGTACCATTGGCATTGAGGATGTTGACATAGAAAGTACATAAAAGAGCTTCTTTGGAAATAGTAGAATATTATGTCCTTTGTGAGAAAGAGAGGATACATAAAACCAGGAGCACCTTTCTAATCACGAAGTCTGGCTGCTGCTTCCTTCTTTTTACTTAGTAAGTGATTTTTGTTGATTGAATGTTAATTGCATATTTATTTTATCAAATGTTTTACTCCTCTTGTGTACAAAACTTAAAAGTGTTCAAGTTCTCACTTTGATATTAGAAGATCCACACCCATCAGTACATGAACTAAATTATGCATAGCCCCAAATAATAAATTTTGTAGTTGACATAAATATTAATTATTTGAAAAATAAATAATTCACATTATTTGTCCTTATGTTTGTCTATCTTTAGAATAGTGATACTCAATTACATCAGTCTTTATGGTGTTGATAGGTATAATATAATAATAATAATAGCCAACATTTATTAAGCATTTACTATTTGGAAATGCTAAATAATTTATATACATTATCTTATTTAACACTCAGCAGTCATCCATTGATGTAGATTCTACCATTATCTTCATTTTTCAGATAAAGGAAATGACAATTAGAAAATACATTCATCAATGTTCCAGTAGAAGTCATAGCTTACTTAAATGGATAATTAAGAAGAGTTTAATAAAGGACTATGGTGTTTACAAAGGCTTGGGCAGATTTTAGGAAAAGCAGCCTGTCATAATGCAGTACCCTGGGACTAGTAATAGTGGAACCATTAATACTCCTAGTCTTAGTAGAGCAAAGGGAAGGATGCTGTTAGAATCTAGAAAAGAGCTATAAGCAAGTGTCATCTGACATGAGCTGTGATCCTATCCAACTTATGATGACCTGGTAGAGAAGAAACCAGGGAAATAAATACCAGACCTTACTTTCGTCCAACCCTTCAATTTCTTGACAGTGCCTCCCTTTAGCTGAACCCAACTGGAAGCCAGAGAGCTCAAGTTAGCTTGTTGATTCTATCTATACAGGTCAGCTTGGAGCAGAGAGGCTGAAGGAGGATAGAAATGAATCTGGAAAGAAATGGAAAATATCTAGGAAATGCATAACTATTAAATGAAAGAGCCAGTATATGAGTACCAACTACTTTACTCCTAAATACATTTACATTAAACCAGAATTACATTGTGGTTAGGATTTGTCATTAAAAAGTTTAATAAAATATTCTTTGGCCAGGGAAAATATTTTAAACCTGAAGGTTTCTATTCCAGCCCAAATTGTTGGATGCATTCTAACAGTACATGAGACAAAATATATGAGCACTGTACAGCAAAAAATACCCTGCTCCCCCAAGAAAATATTACATGTGGGTATTGATTTTACATACTATTGGTAATTTCATAATATTAAGCCATGCTTATTCCCCTTGTTCAGATTCCAGAATCCATTATTTCTCGTGGCGTTCAGGTGCTCCCACGAGATACAGCTTCCCTCAGCACTACTCCTTCAGAATCGCCTCGTGCTCAGGCTACATCTCGCCTTTCTACAGCTTCCTGCCCAACACCAAAAGTAAGTACAGTTCCTTAGTGTCATAGTCTACTATGTGAATCTGGGAAAATTAACCAATATTTTCCTCTGCTTGTCAAGGTCAGATTGCATGAATGATAGTACAGTGAAAGATTAATGGACTGTAAGATAATTATCACCCATTGTTTCACAAATTGTCATATTAAACATTAGAACAATAAAAATTTCATGCATAATGTCTACTCCTACATCATCACAGCTACAGGTATCACTCTCTGTAGATACTGTTTCTTTGTTGTAGACTTGTTATTTTCTTAGCATACTCATCAGTATAGATGTGGAATTACATGTTTGTGCAGAAGATTAATACATTTCTGGCCAATAAATAATAAAATTAACAAGGTAAAATAATGTCACCAATAGAATTTTATCCAGGCTGGGGTAGCTCCCTGCTCTAGTATCATTCCAAATTTGTTCAAACATATTCAACTTGGAATGTCGCTGCCTAATATTTGGAAACAAATCTAAATTAATTAGAAAGAAAGTTTTAATGCCAACCTTTGGGGGAAGGAAGAAGTATCTTAGTATTTGTTTTTTGTCATTTTCCCAAGTACTGAATTATATATGGGGAAAATAAGGATTAGACATTCACTGCCTCATATCTTCATGTATATGATAAATTAAGTATGGCTGTGACTGCTCTCTCCTGGAATGTCTCTACCTAGTTAAGATAGTCATTTCGCCATTAAGTTTTGTATGGGGTGTCAAAAGGTTAACAATAAAATTTCTTTTTACTTAAGATATGGTGTTAGATATCAGGCTACACATCAAATTTAATCTAGAGACCTTCAGGTAATTTTTCAAATCGCGACTTTTTCTCTGTCATCAAATTTAATGACTTACATAGCTATCTTCCTCAATTTGAACTTTTATGAATGTATCAGTGTTATAACTGGATTTAACTAGAAGTAACTTCAAGCAGTGCTTTTACAGTCTTCTCTGGTGCAGCCTTCACAGCATAGTCTTCAGAATGTTAGTGTTGTATATCATTGTTTTTAGACTTATATCAAAAATTACTGATATTTATTATAGTTTTAAAAAATTGAAGTCTTAAATCTTCAGTGAAGAAAATTTGTAAAAACATTCCAGACATAAAATGTATGTTAATGCCATTCAGATGCCAGTCAACTACATCTTAGACTGAAGGAAATCACGGAGTTCTCAAGAAAATTGGATAGATGAATCTCATCCATGTCTTTTAAATTTCTAAAACAAAATAATTTATTGTTTGCATTAACTTCTAATTGTACAAGCTGTACTCATTTATCAAGTCTGGGAAATAATTAAAGCTAAAAGTTAAGGTCACTATTAATGGTTAGCTATTCACCAAATATTAAGACCCAAATCTTGGGAATACAGAATTATCCAAGACAAAGTCTTTTTCCCATTAACAATATACTGTGAACATGAATATTTTAAGCATAATTTAATTATACTTAATACTTGGGTCTTTTTAAAACTTTGTAATTACATTTTAATTACAAAGGGAATATTAAATCCAATTTTTAAAATGACTTGGTATTTCCAAATTTACTTAAGTGAAATCCTAAAAAAAAAAATCTTGATATTTATTGCAAAGCTTTAGGAGAGCAGGTAGCTTCTCTTGGCATTTTTTTTCTTTAGTTAGCACTTAGATGTTCAAACTGACAATAAATTAAAATAAAGCAAAGTATTTATATATCTTTTTTCCTAAGAATTTTTTCATATTTTTATCTAGGAATAAGAGTCTGTTCTTTTTAGATAACTTTTTACCAGCACCAGAATGTATACCTCAAAGATAAAATTATTGCTTTGTTGTAATTTTAAAATTAAACTGTTAAGGCTGAATCAGAATACTAGTATAATAAAAAACTAGCTTGAATATTGACCTTTTTATTTGTTTTTTACTTTTTTATTGTTGTTCAATTACAGTTGTCCCAATTTTCCCCCATTGCTCTCCTCTGCCCTCCCACCCCCCTACTCTCGCTCCCTCAGTCACTCCCCGCCCTCTTGTCCATGTCCATGGGTCCTTTATATATGTTCCTTGACTAGACCCTTCCCTTCCCCCATTATCTTTCCCCCGCTCCCCTCTGGTCACTGTCAGCTTGCTCCTTATTTCCATGTCTCCGGTTCTATTTTGCTCGTTTGTTTGTTTTGTTCATTAGGTTCCACTTATAGGTGAGATCATATGGTATTTGTCTTTGGCCACCTGGCTTATTTCACTTACCATAATACTGACTTTTCAAAGGAGCAACAAAAGTCAAATTAATCTTTCTATTAAATGTCTCAAATTACAAGACTTCTTGATTGAATCTAAATTAAATGCTCTTGATATGTGCCTTTATGTCAGTGACAGATATAATTTCTGCTGCCTTCATGGAGTTTACAGTTTAGTTGATGGTATATTAAAACAAATACATAGATAAATAATTCTATTAATTATAATTTCTTAATAACTTAATAATTATACATTGAAATTGATGCAAGAAGAAATGAAAAAGTCATAGTGATAGAAAATAATAGGAGGGAACTGAACACTAGCTGGAGACAAGTCATGTAACCAGGGACAGATGGAAGAAGCCACATCACCATAATGTGACTTGTAGGGAGTGTGGAGGAGGCACGCAAGGGCAGGCTGGGCTCCCATGGGTGGCAGCTGAAGTGTGAAAGAGATATTTCAGCAGCCAGAGCATTCCCCCTGAATGTGTGGGGTCTAAACCCAAAGCTGGTCTCCCCAGCATACAGCACCAGAGCTGGGAAAGGAACCCAAATAACATCCACCTGTGAAAAGCAGTGGGGTTTCTGTCTGCCAGGAAGAGATGGCAAGAGACGCAGAGAGCCTTGTAAACAGCCAATGCAAAATATTTCATGTGCAGCCACTTACCCTGGACTCTGGAAGAGGGAGGGCAGAGTAGACTAAAGATGCTAAGGAGAGTCTGGGGGTTGGTGGCTCTGGGGAGAGAACCAAAGGAACAGCTGCCAAGATCCCAGACTCATCCCCCATACTACAATAACAATTTTTCTAAGGCAGAACACTCCCCTCCAAGTGGCATCAGCCTGAAGGGATAGAATAGCCCTGCCCACAGGATGCTCTGCCCCACCCTGTGGAGCTTAAGACAGGATGCTGATTATAGCTTAAAGCTATATCACTGATTAGTTAACAACTAAGGTAGATCTTGGGGAGCTCTAAGACTTCAACTGACACTCCCCCTGGCCTAGTGCTGGTTAAAGCCAGCCTTGGTGTGCAGCCTGGTTCTTTTGCATACACCCAGGCCCAGCAAAGGAAGCCACAAGCTCTGGATCGCTGATAGCTCCAAACATATTGACCAGAGCCAGTCACAAGAAGCATCTGACGACGGCCTACACCAGAGTCTTTGCAGGTCTACCTAATACATAGAAACAAATATAAAGAAGGAGCCAAAATGGGGAGACAATGAAACAGACCCCAAATAAAAAGACAAAAGAATTCTCCAGAAGAAGAACTAGGTGAAATGGAGGCAAATAATTTATCAGATAGAGAATTTAGGGTAATGATTACAAGGATACTCAACAGCATGAAAAAAGATATAGGAACCATAAACAAGGAACAGTCAGAAATAAAGAATGCAATATCTGAAATAAATAATACACTGGAAGGAATAAACAGTACATTAGATGATGAAGAGGATTGAATCAATGATTTGGAAGAAAAGTTAGGAAAAAAACCCCAAGCAGAACAGCAAAAAGAAAAAAGAATTTTTGAAAAATGAGGAGAACTTAAGAAACATTTTGGTCAACATGAAGCATAACAACGTCCACATCATGGGAATACCAGAAGGAGAAGAGAGCGAACAAGGGGCCAAGAACCTATTTGAAGAAATAATGACCAAAAACTTCCCTAATCAACACATAAGTCCAGGAAGCTAAGAGTCCCAAACAATATGGACCCCAAGAGGCCTACACAGAGACATATCATAATTAAGTTGGCAAAGCTTAAAGACAAGGAGAAAATCCTAAATACCACAAGAGAAAACAAGGTAGCTATATATAAGGGACCATCAATTAGACTGCCATGTTATTTCCTACCAGAAGCATTTCAGGCCAGAAGGCAGTGGTGTGAAATATTCCAGGTGATGGAAAGCAAAGACCTACAACCAAGGCTACTTTACCCAGCAAGGCTATCATTTAAAGTCAAAGGAGAAATAAAGAGTTTCCCAAACAAGAAAGATCTAAAGGAGTTTGTTAACACCAAACCAGTACTACAACAAATGTTAAAGGACTTGCTAAAAGGAGGGGAAGGAGAAAAAAAAAAAAAAACGGGAAAATAGTCTAACAATAAAATAGCACTAAATATCTGTCAACAATCACCTTAAATGTAAATGGCTTAAATGCTTCCACCAAAAGACATAGAGTAGCTGAAAGGATAAGAAAATGCGACCCATCTTAGCTGGTGTGGCCTAGTGTTTGAGTGCCAGCCTGTGTGAATCAAAGGGTCGCCAGTTCAATTCCCAGTCAGGACACATGCCTGGGTTACAGGCCAGGTCCCCAGTAGGAGTCGTGCAAGAGGCAACCACACATTGATGTTTCTCTCCCTCTCTTCCTCCCTCCCTACCCCTGTCTAAAATAAATAAATAAAATCTTTAAAAATAAAAGAAAACAATACCCATATATAGGAGTTCTGGTCCAGATGGAGGCATAGGTAGATACAGTTTGCCTCCTCACCCAGCCAAAAGAAGAAAACAACCAATTAAAAAAAAAAAAAAACAGAATTGCCAGGAAATTGAACTGTATGGAAGCCCAACAACCAAGGAGTTAAAGAAGAAACATTCACCCAGAATGTTTCTATCCAAAAACTGGTAGGAGGGGCGAGACAGGCAGCTGGGTCAGAGAAGACTCACGGCAAGGCATCAGCCAGCAGACCAGGCAGTCTCATATTTGCATGCAGATAAACTTGAAGGAACAACTGAGGAACAAGACAGACCACACAACACAGGGTTCTAGCACCAGTTAAAGCCTCAGAACCT